AGAGAGAGAGAGAGAGAGAGAGAGAGAGAGAGAGAGAGAGAAAAGGAAGCTTAAATAAAATACATTGTATTAAAATTATTGCAAAGAAAAAATTGAACAAGGGTTTGAAAAAAATTAAATAAAAATTTAAAAAGAGAGAGAGGGAGAAACAAAGCCCTCTTTTCCCACAGGGTGAGCCCTGGCCAGAGAGGGTCCCAAGACGGGACTCCCCCCGAGAGAGTCCCAGGCCAGGCAGGGGGAGGGGACATGGCCTCGGGGGAGAGGAGTTTCCACCCAGACCTTTGCCAGGGAGACAGACAAGTACCCGGTTCCTCCTGGTTGGGCAAACCCGCCAGGAGCTTCCCTACTCTCCCCCACCCGGTCTGTGTGACACCCAGAAAGATCCCTGCCTGTGACTAGGGGCTGCCGGCACAATTCCAGACCCTTCCGTGGCCGGTAGACCCGCCCCCCGCCGCGATGTGTCCTGTGCCAGCCAGGGAGACAGGATGAGGGCTGTGGAAGGAGGGGTGGGTTCACAAGCCCCTCCCGGGAGGAATGGCCCGCGTTCTGGTGGGGGGGGGCGTGAGAGAGCCCCGAGAGGCCTTACCTGGGGGGCAGAATGTGAGTGGGAGACACAGTTCTCTAGGAAGCTGACTGAATCATAGCAGGTTTCTTGGGCGTGGATGAGGCCAACTGGGTAGAAGGAACAAGGAAGTAGACCCTGCATGGTATACCTGCTGTCAGGTGATCTAGGGTGTCCAGTCCTGGAGCCTGGAAGCGAATTGTGGGGATCACCTTTGTACGAGATAGGGGACAGCTGGTGCCCAGGTCAGGCCTTGGCCTCAAGAATACATGGCTTTCTGTAATCCCAGCACTTTGGGAGGCTGGGGCGAGAGGATGGCCTGAGTTCAGAGGTCCAAGACCCGCCTGGGCAACCTGGTGAGACCTTGTCTCTACAAAAAATCAAAAAATAAGCCGGGCGTGGTGGTGCGCGCCTATAGTTCCAGCTACTTGGGAGGCTGAGGTGGGAGGCTCGCCTGAGCCCCGCAGGTCGAGGCTGCGGTGGCCGGGAGCGTGCCGCTGCACTCCAGTCTGGGCGACAGAGTGAGACTCCAATTCAGAGAAAACAAAAAACAAAAAACACAGGACTCTGAACACAAAGT